AGAGGAGGAGGAGGAGGAGGAGGAGGAGGAGGAGGAGAGAGAAAAAGAGAGAGATGCACTTAATTCTTTGTTTTTCCATTTCAGAAACTTTTTGTGGTTCCCACAATAGGGAGAGAAATTCCTTATGCCCATGTTAACCACAACAAGTACATGGTGACTGACCGAGTAGCTTATGTTGGTACGTGGAATTTAATTAACGGAATAATTGAGATGGCTCAAGCCGGCGAGTTTTGCCCCCATTTTATGACCTTTCTCACTACAACCGTCAAGGGAATCACTGCAGTTTTTAAGCAAGTAACACAATTATTACGAGGACTGTCTGTAAGCGTGCTGCAGATGACCCTATAAATGGATTTTCTTCTTTTCTTTCTCCGCCTGTAGGAACTTCTAACTGGTCTGAGGATTATTTTCTCCACACCACCGGCGTTGCGTTGGTTGTCAACCAGAGCAACGTTGCCCCCGAAGCCCAAAGTTACACATTGCGACAACAGCTAGTGGACGTTTTCCTTCGGGATTGGGAATCTCCCTACACCCTCCCACTTGAAAACCACTCACAATGTCGGAAGCAATCAAGGGAGTGAGGAGTCTGGCTTGAAGAACCGGCCCTAAGGCCAGGCTCACTCCATTTCTCGGTCCATGAGGACCTTCCTTTAAACGTCCTGAGGTTTGGATGCTCTTGGTGTGTCCCAAAGGTGCTTTTTTTTTTTTTCTCCAAGAGGTTCTTGGTGTGCTTTTAGGAAAATGTCAGGCTGCTTTTGCATTCTTAAGCTATGGCCTTCCCGGGTTGACAATCTGTCATCGGAACAGGGGAGGAAACGCAATTGCTGATCATCGTTCTGGGCTCGGAGAAGTTCCCAGGAGCTGAAGGACCAAGTTAGGGACAGATCATCATGGAGAAAAATCTATCTATGTGGTTGCTAAGAGTGGACAGTTGGATGGACCTCCTCCTTCATCCATCCATCATCCATTCATGCATCCATCCATTCATAATCCGACATCCCTCCATCCCTCCATCACCCATCCATCCATCATCCATCTATCCCTAATCCAACATCCATCCATAATCCAACATCCATCCATCCATCATCCATTCATGCATCCATCCATCCATAATCCAACATCCATCCATCATCGATTTATGTATCCATCCATCCATAATCCAACATCCATCCATCATCCATTAATCCACCCACCCATCCATTCTCTA